TATCAATTGCTCAACACCTCTCTTAAAATGCAGTATCTAGAACATGGTGTTTGGAGGTTGGCATGCCCTTGGTACTCCATCAATTTGTACTGAATGGATGAATGAAGTGGTTCACAAAAACCATGATATAACAGAACTATTCTCCCCTTTTCTCTATGCATTGTAATTTTATTAATACAGCCTGAGCTTGTATTAGCTCTCCCATGAGGCATTTTCACATACCTGCTGGCTTGGTGGGTAAAGGAGTGTCCCCTGGGGGAACAAGAATACAGAACCCATTGACTGATGCCTACGCCCCTCAGGGGGTATAATAAAAAAACCGGTGGCATAACAGAAAAGGTCAAATGAGAAAATTAGCACTCTAGGCCAGGCGGGTGGCTCATGCCTGTAATCCCAGCACTTTGGGAGGCTGAGGCAGATGGACTGCTTGAGGCTAGAAGTTCAAGACCAACCTGGGCAACACAGTGAAACCCCATCTCTACTAAAAATACAAAAATTAGCTGGGTGTGGTGGTCACCCAGACACCACAGAGTTTTTTGAAACTCTGTCTCAAAAAAAACAAGAGGGCAGAGCAGAGTCCATCAGGTGACCTATGATGGACATGAAGCAAACATGAGAAATCAGCGTTTGCTGTTTTAAATCACGGAGATTTTGTTTGTTGTTACTACGGCAGACCCTAGCCTAGCTAGCCTGATTCTATATGACTGACACAGGAACAGCAACACTCAGAGCTCATGTCCTCTGGCCCACAGCTCACAGCTTTCACATTATTTCTTTTCCTTATGCCTCTAACCTGTAAAATGAGAAACCATCGTTTGGAGGGGCATACATGGGTTATTCCAAGCAGCTCAGGCAAGTCCTACCTGCCATCAGTGGGGAGATGTATCTGTTCACACCAATAATGCCCTAGGAGAAGTCACCATGGAGATGGGTTTAAAATTTTTTTTCTTTTATTCCCACAGAAGAAGAAACTCAAGATTATGTGACTGAAATCCACCTAAGATTGCCACTGCAGCCCAGAGAATGGATGGACACTTGGTGGGTGAAGTGGGAAGACACCTGGAGGTGAAGAGAAGAACTTGGGAGTAATTTAGAAGGGATGAAAAGAGCAAGTCGCCTAAATCAGTGGTTCTTAAACTTTTACCGCATCAGAATCACCTGGAAGGCCTGTGAGACCACAGATTGCTGGGCCCTACCTCCAGAGTCTCTGATTCATTAGGCCTGGGGTGGGGCCAAGAATTTGCAGTTCTAACACCTTCTCAGGTGATGCTGATTCAGAGACCACACTTTGAGAACCGCTGCTCCAGAAGAATTAGCTACAAGAAACTGGGGGGTGGAGGCTCTGGCAAGAGGAGTCAATGTGGTTACAGCTCTCCAGTGCTTGGCCTTAGTGGATTCTCTTTGGAGAAGAAAAAGAAAGGAGCCAGTTTTCCTTTTTCCACCCAAGACATTAGTCTCAAACATAACACACTACACAACAAAATTAAGCTCCTCTAAGGGAACAAAACAAGAATCTCATTCATTTGCATAATTTTAAAAAAACTGGTTCTGTGAGAAGAAATCATGCCGCACTCACCCTCCAGAGCTTCCCCAGGGGGTAAATCTAAGTGTATTTCATTTAGGAGGAAGCAATTTAGGTAATTGGTTGCAGCCCCTTTTTTAACCTTATCTACACACTCCCCTTCACAAACCTCCATTGCAAGTCAGCTTTCTTGCACTTTGACCCCACCAAGGCTGGTCACACTCTCCTCAGCTGTGAACGACACCTACACACATGCACGTGTACACACTTATCTTCCCTTATCTAAATCTTCCCTCTTCCTCCAGTTTAGGGCCAGAGGCTTCAAGAATATCTTTCCTCTCTTTCATTCCTATCACAGTTAATCAATCACCAAATCCTGTTCATTTTACTTCCCAAGTACCTCCAGAATCCATCCAGTGCTCCTCATTTTTCACTTTAACTCAACTGGTATAGATTCCCCATGCTCTACCCTCCTTCCCCTCTAGGTTTTTGCCCAGGTTGTTCACCTTGACTAGACTGATCTCAATTTAAACCACATCCCCTTCCAGATGAGGAGGCCATCTGTGGTCCCTAAGCTAGGTTAGAGTCCCCTTTATCAATTCCCATTGAACTCTATGTTTCCTCTATCATGAACATTTATCACATTTGTGATCTCTTATTACCACAGCAGACCCTAGCCTATTCTGACTGATTCTGTATGACTGACGCAGGAATTAGAACACTCAGGACTCATGTCACCTGGAACCATCATATTATAGCTTTCACATTACTTCTCTTCTCCATGCCTCTAATCTGTAAAATGAGAAGCTATCCTTTGAGGGGCATGCACACATTATTCTGAGCATCTCAGGTGAGTCCTACCTGCCAACAGTGGGGAGATGTATCTGTTCACACCAATAAGAGCAAGCAAATTCCCTACTCAACCGTAAGCTCCTCACCACCAGGACCACATCTGTGTTGCTTGCTGCTGTACCTGTAGAGTCCAGCACAGCCCCAGACACAGTGTAGGTACTCACTAGGTATTTAATAAGTGCAGGAATCCTCCCTTCTTCTCAATGCCTATAGCATATTCTGCCTGTTGTAAGGAAAGTCTGGCCAATCAGTGCCACACACCACCTGAGACAAGCATGTAACCCCATGACATCCAGGAGATGGAATCTAGAGGGGAAAAAGTAAGCCTTGAAAAGAAGGTGCATCTTCCCCTTGGAAGCTGGATGGAACTGAAATTAACTACAGAGATGTTTCGGTAGTAGGAAAGAGGCTACCTTTTGAAGAGAAGTGGTCAGTAGATAAAGTCTACTGTTAAGAATGAGAGGAGAAGGAATTGTGTGTGACAAATGTTTTATAATGGTAGGTCTGCATTTTCTAGCAACTCTTATGGAAGTTGGTAAGTTCCCAAGCTAAAGGTTCTGATGGACTCTCTGTCCAGACTTAACAACAGGCACCCGTGTCTCTAGGATGCCTGAGGACTGAACTCAATGACTTCCCAAGAGCTTCTGACCTTCAGGATTCTATAAACAAATTTATTCTGAGCTGGAATTTGGGGAATCCACATCCTGGCTCTTTTTAAACAGCAGTTCGTTCTCAATCTAGGAGACAAGACAATCTTTACTCACTCTCTTTATTAGTATTAATGCTTCCAAAGTCAGACTCCCAACTCCAGCCCCTGACTGTCGTCTCCTATGGACCACCAGCATCAAAATAACTTAGGAAGTGGCCTCTGACTATGACAGGAGTTGGACTTGATGAGGAGAACACCACGCAAAGGCAGCACAGGCCTTGAAGCCTGGCTAACCTGGGATGGCATCTTGGCTGTCCTAGCTGTGTGTCCCTGGGCACTTCCTTGGGTCTCAGGTTCTTCATCTCTAAAATGGCGATGGTCTATCTCTTAGGATGATCCCATTAAATGAGATATGCGTGTAAAGCCTCCGGCACAGAGCATACGTGCAAGGATGTCAGTTTCACCATAATTATAGCTTTCTAGCTTTAAACGTACTGTGGGATAATGATTCTAAGCTGAAAATACTATAGAGATGAAATGACACGTTTGGAATTTGCTTCAAAATAATCTAGGGGATGAGAGTGAAGGGATAGATAAAATAAAATTAGCCATGTTTTGGAAATTGTTGAAAATGAGCAATGAGTATATTGAATTTATTACCATATCTCTTTTTGTATATTTTTTTCCATAACAAAAAGTTTAAAGGTGTAGGTATTAAGGGAGGGAAATGCTGTAAAAATATAAATACTGAGAGTTTATTTTAAGATTATATTTGGTCTACGTGACTAAACAGAGGAAAAATGATTTGAAGAAGGAAAAAACCTTTAAAGCTAACATCTATTTGTTACTTTCCGAAACATAAATATTTTCTTCAAATAGAACTGTCTCAAATGAATGGAAGGGGGCAGAGCGATGCACATTTCTTGCCTTCCTTTTTTGGGAAAACACATCCTGCTTGGGCTGTACATGTATTTTTACGTAGACAAGCCCTGGGTGGTAGAGCCCACCTGAGCATCCGAGAGCCCTGCTGAAACTGAGCTGAGGAACAGGAAAGTTCCCATGTTAGGAAAAGAGAACACAAAGAACTCAAAATGTTCAGCGATGATGGGGATTACCAGCTCTCCTCTCTTTGGATTTTGGACTCTTATTTGAGGCTTCCCTGGGAGCCTGATTCAGCTCAGTCTGAGGGGACACCCCCTGCCTCCACCCACAACACACACATGTTTTAAGAGATGGGGTCTAGGGCAGGATGTGGTGGCTCACGCCTGTAATCCCAGCACTTTGGGAGGCCGAGGCAGGAGGATTGATTCAGCACAGGAGTTTGAGACCAACTTGGGCAACATGGTGAAACCCCATCACTACAAAAAACACAAAAATAAGCTGGGTGTGGTGGTACATGCCTGTAGTCCCAGCGACTTGGGTGGCTGAGGCAGGAGGATTGCTTGAGCCCAGGGAGGTCAAGGCTGCAGTGAGCCAAGATTGTGCCACTGCACTCCAGCCTGGATGACAAAACAAGATCCTGCCTCAAAAAAAAAAAAAAGATATTTGGTCTTGTTAACCTTGAACTCCCGGGCTCAAATCCATCCTCCCACCTCAGTCTCCCAAGTATCTGGTAATACAGGTGTGTGTCAGCTATATTTCCACCCAGATGAGTGGGTCCTCTCCGAACAGGGCTAATGTACCAGAAGATGTATCAGGAGAAAGGGTTCACTCAGGGGAAACGGAACTTTAAAGAAGCTCTGACAGTACCCATCATAGTACATCCCTGTATCAACTCTCCTCTTCCACAGCTTGCCACTGAGAGAAGTCTGGAGATTGAAAAATAAAATTCTTCTCACATTCCTGTTTGGATCAACCAACTCACTCACTCCAAGCCCCTCTGTCTGAGAGAAAACAGTTCAGCAAGTTTTGTCTTCAGCAAATGCCTTTAGTATCCCATACTCTGCCCAGATAAGGAGAATACATAAAAATACTTACTCTTCTTGAAGAATGAATTCACTGTTTTCCGGAGAAAACTGCCCCGTCACAGGATGCCTGAATGCTGTGGTCTGCTGGTTATGGCTAAAGGGAAAGAGAGATGATGGATGAGAATTCGTGTGAATGAAAGGAGTACAGACATGACAGGTCAGTCAGCAATGTCTGGCGACTCTGGTCATCGAAGGTTTCTCACAGGCGGAGAAATGTGGGCCTTTCCCCTGAGACACATTTAGTCTGTCAGAAACCCACCACACTAAGAAAAGCCCAAGAATTTCCAGCTCAGGTGCCAGAGCCCACCTACGAGACAGGGAGACTTCTAAGGAAGTCCTGGCTCCAAGAGAATACTGCATCTTGGAGAGACATTCCATGAAGTACTTACTCCAGCAAACTGAGACGATGAGCAAAAAGTCACTTTAAGACAGTATGAGCTAAAACAAGAATGAAGGAAAGCAGATGACACTTCCGACAGCTTCCAAATCCATGAACCTAGTGAAAGAATTCTAAGAATTAACCACCCACCCAGAAAAATCTATCTTCTGAAAATTCTTCTCCCTACAACAAAATGTCTTCACTTCAATGATGGGATATAAATGTATGGGCATGTCTCTGCAACATGACCTGCACAATTTCAGCACGGTGGAGTTTCTATCACCCTTTTGAAGTTAGGAAGGATCAGCTTCCACACCAGGCTGACAGACACAAACAAAGCGTGTAGGTGTTTTGTGCATCAACAAAGGCTGCTTGGTTCTTTGAAAGGGCAGAGGAGCTGGCTCTAGAGACTGTTGGTTTGCTCCACAAATAAACTAAACTAAACCTCCTCTTTTTAAAACAAAATATGATTTATTTAAATTTCTTTTAAGATCATAGTCATTGCAGACTTTTTTTTTTTTTTTTTTTTTTTTTTTTTTTAAAGACAGAGTCTCTCTCTGTTACCCAGGCTGGAGTAATGCAATCTCGGCTCACAGCAACTTCCCCCTCCTGGGTTCAAGCAATTCTCCTGCTTCAGCCTCCCAAGTAGCTGGAATTACAGGTGTGCACCACCACGCCAGGCTTATTTTTGTATTTTTAGTAGAGACGGGCTTTCCCCATGTTGGCCAGGCTGGTCTCAAAACCTTGACCTCAAGTGATCCACCCACCTCAGCCTCCCAAAGTGCTGAGATTACAGGTGTGAGCCACTGTGCCTGGCCTGTGGACATTTTTTAAAATGTAAAAAGTAAAAAGTCACCCATGACCTCTCTATGTGGAGATATACCTGGGTATTTTCACCTTCCAAGTTTTTAATTTTCTTCTACTTAAAAGAATCACTTCAGGCTACTGAGAGTGATTTTACTGTATACAAAATTCTATGTCCTGCTTTTTCACTTCCTATTAACATAGAAAAAGTCCTGTGTCATTAAGACTTCTTTATTCCAAATAGCTGAATAATAGTCTTATCATACGAATGTAAACAAAAATTTTTTTGACAGGGTCCTGCTCTGTTGCCCAGGAAGAGTACAGTGGGGGGTGATCGTGGCTTACTGCAGGCTCAAACTCCTGGGCTCAAGCAATCCTCCCACCTCAGCCTCCCAAGTGGCTGGGACTACCGGTATGTGCCACCATGCCCAGCTAAGTTTTGGGTTTTTTTTGCAGAGATGAGATCTCACTATGTTGCATAGGCTCATCTCAACCCTCAGCCCACCAGGCTTGCTTCCCAAAGCGTTAGGATTATGTCTGGCCAAATGTAATTTTTTTTACATACAACCACTCAAAAAGTTGCCTACTGGGCACCCACGTGCTGGGCACTCCTTTAGGTACTGGAGATAAAAGGTGAACAAAAAGTCCTTATCCCATGGTATTTACATTCTAGAAAGATTTAAACTCTTCTAATGCTAGATATTTTAGGTGCCTCCCCCCACTATTATAATCTATATCTCCTTCAATGTAATTTGAATTTTGCAATTCAAATTTTTCCTTGGGTTAAAGTCTCAAAGGTAAAATTACTGAATCAAAGGGCATGGTCATTTTTTAAGGTTCCTAGTATAGACAGTTAAAATGCTTTCATAATCAATAGATCATCTCAGTTTGGTATTGTTAAAATATTAGCCCCATCTCCAAATTGCGGACTAAATCTCCCTAGAGATTACTGTCTAAATCAGTATAGCACAAAGGTTATCAAAGAAAAACTCTCTAGGCCTACAAAGTTTTTTTTACACCATCCTAATGCCTGGTCAGAATCTCCAATGTCCAGGTGTCTGGGATAACCTGGGCACTGAGGGTTAGAGCAACCTGAAAACCCTAACAAGCCAAATGTGAAGCCAGCCATGAGGCCAGATTGTTCCTTAGTCCTGCAACTATGCACCGCCTCACCATACTGTCACCCTTCCCAACCATAGCCAGCCTCTGAATTCCCTCCTTCTGGTCCCAGGCAAGCCCGTGGAATTCTATGACCTCATTTGGCAAACAGCAGACTAGTCTTCCCAAAAAAGCAGAGTTAAGGCTGAGCATCTAAGATAAGGACAAGAAGCAGAAACAGGCCTTCTTAACACCTGTTTTAAAAATCCTTGCACCACATTCAATGGTTAGGCTTTATTTATACCCAGCTTTTTCTTTTTTCTTTTGAGATGGAGTGTCGCTCTGTCGCCCAGGCTGGAGTGCAATGGCATGATCTTGGCTCATTGCAACCTCTGCCTCCTGGGTTCAAGTGATTCTCCTGCCTTAGCCTCCTAAGTAGCTGGGATTACAGAAACCTGCCACCACATTTGGCTAATTTCTGTATTTTTAGTAGAGGCAGGGGTTCACCATGTTGGCCAGGCTGGTCTCAAACTCCTGACCTCAGGTGATCAGTCCACCTCAGTCTCCCAAAGTGCTGGGATTACAGGTGTGAGCCACCACTCCTGGCCCATCTTTTTCCAGAGACTTATCTCCACTTGCCAGAGAATCTGAAAATGCAAACTCTAAATCTAAACCTGCCCATTTCCACCTGGAGGGGAAAAAAAAACCCTGCTCGTAACAGAAATAACCATAAAACATTAACACAGCTATCTGTGATTATCTCTAACGAGGTTTGCAGTTTACAAAGCATTTTCTTACTCATCTGGGCTATTACCACCATCAGTCCCACCATCAATGAGGAAATAGGGCTCAGAGAGGTAAATGTGGTTGGGGGTTGCCTGGTACAAGATAACTTTGTTGATAAATTATAAGACTGGGACATGGGGCAGGTTGCAGTGGCTCACACCTGTAATCCTAGCACTTCCTGGGGCTGGGGCAGGTGAATCGCTTAAGCCTAGAAGTTTGAGATCAGCCTGGGCAACATGGTGAAACTTTGTCTCTACAAAAAGTACAAAAATTAACCAGGCATGGTGTCACACACCTGTAGCCCCAGCTATTTGGGAGGCTGAGTTAAGAGGATCACTCGAGCCAGGAGGTCGAGGCTGCAGTGAGCTGTGATTTTGCCACTGCACTCCAGCCTAGGTGACAGAGTGAGGCTCTGTCTCAAAAACAAACAAAAAAGTGATAAGACTGGGAAATGACTCCAGGTCTTCTATTTCTAAATTCTGTGTTCTCTGTATGATAACCTGCTTTCCCTTTCCCTTAGGAGTCTCAGGGGGGCAGCTTCCTGGCCATGATCAGAAAGCCCTAAAGACACAAGGTATCAGAAAAACAGCACCAGCTGCCACTACTCCCTCTCATTCTTTATCTCCCTCTTTCCCCTTTTGTCCAGGGCCAAAGTTCTGAGTGACAGCACTTGTGTGGCACTCAGTAGTCCCCAAACAGCCTTCGGTTCTACCATAAGATCAGCTGGTGGATCTCTGGCAGATGAGGGTAAAAAGCAAATCTTCTACAGGTGTGGGGCAGATCCAGCAGCCAGTGACCACCACTTCATATACACTGTACAATTTTTTTTTTTTTTTTTTTTTGAGACACAGTCTCGCTCCATTGCCCAGGCTGGAGTTCTGTGGCGCGATCTCCACTCACTGCAAGCTCCGCCTCCCAGGTTCACGCCATTCTCCTGCCTCAGGCTCCCAAGTAGCTGGGACTACAGGCGTCCGCCACCATGCCCAGCTAATTTTTTGTATTTTTAGTAGAGACGTGGTTTCACCATGTTAGCCAGGATGGTCTCCATCTCCTGACCTCGTGATCCGCCCCCCTCAGCCTCCCAAAGTGCTGGGATTACAGGTGTGAGCCACCACATCTGGCCTACACTGCACAATCTTAATAGCAACTCCTGGGCTCCCCACCCCAAACTGTACCAGCTTAAATAAACTCAGGGTTCTAAGTAAATGAATCTTGAGCTGCAGAGTTTAGGCACTAAGATGAATTTTACATTCTAACATTAGAAGAAAGGTAATTTTTAAAAAGCCAACATAAAATAGCTGTCATTTGATCAGACCTAGAGACAGTTCTTCAAAATTCTTTCCCTAATATGGATGCTGCCCTCTTTGCCAAAAGAGTTTTCAGTCACAGTGTCAACACCACCACCACCATCTCCTGCAATTTACAAGGAGTTTTCCGTTTGTTTTTTTTTTTTTTTTTGAGATGGAGTCTCGCTCTGTTGCCCAGGCTGGAGTGCAGTGGCCGAATCTCAGCTCACTGCAAGCTCCGCCTCCCAAGTTTACGCCATTACAAGGAGTTTTAACTAAGGAGCTTTAACTGTGCTTACATTCATCATCTTATTTGCCCCTCCAAACTACCCATTGAAGTAAGCAGGGTAGATATTTTCATCCCCATGTTAAACATAAGGAAACTGAGGTTCCAGGTTATGGGATGTTACTAGAATACTATTTTTTTTTTTCAAAAAGACTCATACATTGAGAAAAGAGATGAACCAGTGTAATGGCTTCTGAATACTGAAGTCTTAAAATTTTTTTTTTTTTTTTTTTTTGTTTGCGACAGGGTCTTACTTTGTCACCCAGGCTGGAGTGCAGTGGAATGATCTCAGCTCACTGCAGCTTTGACCTCCTGGGTTCAAGCGACATTCCTGCCTCAGTCCCCCAAGTAGCTGGGACTTAACTGGCGCATACCACCATGCCCAGCTAATTTTTTTTTATTTTTAGTAGAGATGGGGTTTCACCATGTTGCCCAGACTGGTCTCCATCTCTTGA